AACAGTTATCTAATGCTATGTGTTTAACTGCGAAGTAGACTTTATGTCTACTTACGAGTAGTATGTATTGTTTAAGAGACAGGTGATACATATAATACTACACAGTTTTTTTATAATCTCTTTGTGAAGAAGAAGCATGCGGTACTATCACTCGAGGAGACTCAATCCCCTCATTTTATGGACGACAAGTTGGGGTAATGAAATCCATTGTACGTCCCTCCGATATAATATTTGTTCAATGACGTCACCAACAGGTACCGTACTGGCCGGACTAATCACTTAACTCTTTAATTTAAAAAACATGGTTATTAAATTTAAATCTTAGTGTCTTGTTGGGTTCCGTAATGGTTACCTGTGAGAGTGGTGATTGATCGGGTGAAAATTTAGGTGAGTTTTATCTATAAAATAAATATACCTCTTCAAACTTGGCGTTGATCCAAGTGACACTACTCGAGGCATTAATACATGTCAAAGTATCCACTAGATACAATCGCCTGATATCACAAGGTTACCCACAATGTCATCGTTACATGTTTACCATAGTTAGAAGACAATGGTTGGCAACTAAAATAAAATTTATAAAAATGACTCGTACGTAATGGAAAAGATCTTAATGGCCAGTCAGACACAATTTTTTCGACGGTTCTAGACATAGCAATGATCTAATTCAGCCTTTCCCATTTGGTGGATCGCGACTCGGTCCAGCATAGAACAGTAAATTATTCACTATTCTGTGCGATAAATAAAATACCGGATCGCGACATTCCTTAGTACTTAAAAAAATACCAATTGACAGCAACAAAAATAGGATAATAAAGCTATTTACAATTAAGTTAAATTATATATATATTTTGCTAGATTTAGATGTCGTTAATCGAACTGTCAACCGATGCAGACGCAGCACTAACAATAAAACAACATAAGACCATTGATAAGGTTATTTTTTTTGCCTTTAAATGCCTTTAAAACATTAAAACTTTTAATGCCTTTAAAACATTAAAACTTTGATTCTTTGGTAAAAAATAACCAGCAGCTTCACACTTCACACTAAATAGACGACACTGAAATATTTGTAAAACATTTTTAATAGTAATTAACATATCGTAATATAAATATTCTTCTAATAATAAGAAATGTGTACTATTTTACTTAATGTGAACAGCGTGCAGGAGAAAGGGAGGTATTTAAAAGTATTGAGTGTGTAAAAATTAAGTGTAATATTATCGGGCCCGGGTTGAAGAACATGTTTGCCAAACACTGATCTAATGTACTCACAATAGGCAATAAAAAGCTTCAGGGCTATCCTCTAAGAAATAACAACACCTTTTGCTAGAGAATGTTTTGTTTGTAATGGGAACACTATCTAGAAATAATTATAATATCAATAAAGTTCGCTTAGACACTGTGCTTTATGTGTCAATTGGTTTCGACTGGAGAATTAACAAATTAATTGTTGTTTGGTTTTATTCTTCAGCTTAGTAAATGTAATTTTGTTAATTTGTGCAGAATTCGTTTTATAAAATCAAAAATTTAAGTTTACTTGTACGTATGTGGAGGCTTGTGATAATCAATCTTTTTAGTTTTGATTTTCTTTATGTAAAGTTTGTTATTAGTGTTATAAGCTTTCTTGAAATAAAAATATAAGAAGTTTAAAAAATTAAAATCACGAAGATTCTTTTTAAATACAATATATGGTTCGGTTTAAGTTTTACTACTAACTTTTCTTTAATAATTCAAGTCTGAGTTATTACTACACTAAAATACAACTCGTTTGTAATTTTTTATATGATGACATTACAAACCAAATATTTAACTAAAAGTAGCTAATAACATTTTATTATCATAAATATTCTATTAAGAACCAATTAAAAAGAGCGAGTAAATTGTTACTCAAATATTTTTTCTCCGAGCCTTACTTTGTAACTGGATAACGTGACAGCAAATGTGATCTTATAAGATTTATCAACATTTTATAAGAGTAATTCTGGTTGTATGTATAAACTATGAAATATTACTTTAAAACCTCACATTCCTTTAGTTATTTTAATGTAACCCGGAGTAAAACTCACGTACAGATATCTGGTAGGTACCGACTATTAGATTGCCACGTCTGCAAGTGGGGACAGTTGACGTGAATAGCGCAAAGTGCACGATAATGTTGATAACTTCATGACAAGTAATTACATTTTTTTTCTATAATTGCTGTGTCTACGTTATGTAATTTAATACCAAGACTATCATTTTATCTGGTTAGGTTTGGTAGGTATGTACGTATCAAATACTGTAAGAATAAGACTGGAGCTACGGGTATTAAGTAAGAAGTAAGCAAGCAACCCTTTACTAGTGTCCTACAAGTATCCTAAACGCTTAGTAGAAAATGTTTAACAGTCACATCTCTAAAAACCCATTTGCGATTAGCAAATCAATACAATTTTAAATTAAACTAACACTGTAAAATAAATTACTGTGGATGAATTCAATAAATACGGTGATGTTGGCACATTTTGAGTACGGAACTCGAATTGAACGGCACACTTTCATGATTCCTATTCTAAGCTAAAGTATAAATGATCTTTATTCGCTTTGATGTGAAATAAAATACATAAATCAGTCATCGCCAATGGATCAATCTTTATAAATGTTATAATGAGGTTCACTTTGTAAGTTTGTTTGTTTGGGGTAATCTTTGAAACTACTGATTTGATTATGAAAATTAACTTATCTAACATGTTAAATTACGGTCAAGTACTGAAAACAGGTGTTTTAAATGTTATTTAACACTTCAGTTGCAAAGTAATGTGTGTCGTTAGAAAGCACAGTAGGTAGTTAGACCATATGACCTGTAGAACCAGACCTTAATTAGCGGCGCTGTGCTGGACGGAGCTTGGCCAACTGTTCGTGAGTCGCCACCGCGCCCAGCATTAATATGTTAAGTCCCTTCGCGGGCGCGTTGTATTATTATTAATTAGCTCACATTATTTATTTCACCACTCCCTGTCTTGTAACTGGGCGCAGGTTTACAGCTGCACACTACACACTAGACAAGCGACGTTCAATTTTTATTTTAATAGCCACGTTAGCAGTTATTGTCTGATACGAACACAGTCCGATCACAGGAATACATTAAAGACGCAAAGAACACAAAGAGATATTAACATTAATTAATGTCTGTAAGTAATATTTATAAAATAGTGCGCAATAAGCACAATATAAATAAGGTAGTATAGATTAATGATTGATTTAATTATAATTTATTTATAACTGAACTAATGAGTTCTGTAAATAATAATAATCATCACAACTCAAAGGCATTAAATGGTCTTACAGCTGATTATTCAAAACGATTATAGGACATAATTTGTACATCGCTTGCGAATTGACATTTAAATCACTACACCTCCGAGTTTACAGCGCAATATAATGCACATTGACACATATACCTTAATCGAAGTAAAAGTACATTCAACTGTATTTGCCAATATTCATTATGATTGATTAATAATAATTATTAGACATTGAGGCTTTATCTCTCTTTCTTCATGTTCACATGAAACTAACTAACGTCTAATGGATTAACACTTTGTTTTTACTTTACTCAACACTTTAATAGGTAAAAGTGATATTGTAGACGTTGTAGACGTTGTAAGTAACAAGTACCTAAGTAATACCAATAAAATACCTTTTCCTCTACTAGGTACTGGGTTATCTCGAGTGCCTACGAGAATATATGGAATGGAGGAAGATTAATGCGAGAATTTCAATGTTTCAAATCATAACAAAAATTAAGTGTTGCAACATTGCAATTCTTTCACATAAAACACCTCGTGGTCGAAGACAATACCCCGCGTGTCTTCGGAAAATGTTGAATTGGAGAATTGGGGAAATGTTCTGCCATTGCGAAAACGGCTTGTTAAGTTTCTCTGATAAGAGGTTACGACCGCCAAATTAAGAACTTGGCGTAGCATCTCTGGGTTCTTCTCAAGCGGTGAACGTCGTTTAGCACGGAACATTGTGTGGTTTTTACCTTGACTGTTACCTAATATATAATAATAAAGATTTCTTTCAAAATTGGTAGAAAAACATACTCGGATGGTCTGTTTGTGACGATGGCAATGGCTTACAGTACAGGTCCCAGCTCGAACACCGCAACAAATTTTAATGCTGGGCGCATAATCTTGTTGACATTGCTCTTAAAGTCATCCAATTTGTTTTTCTACAGGAAATGAACTTTTTTAGGTTAAGTTGAATGTTACTGTTGAAGATACCCAGGTACATAAAAAGTGTTTAAAGACGTTCCATACAGTTCTGAAAACAGTATTTTATAGTAATTGATGTGGCTATAGTTACCTGTGATAACAGATGGTCTGCGATGAACGTCATGTTGGGTGCGTATGGGGCAGGCCGACTGCAGCAGGCGCTGGAGCCGTGAAGCCGGGTACACCAGCCACGACGTCGGCTCGCGCCGCCTCTGTCGGCAATATCAATGATGTTAGATATACTCTCGATTGCGCCTGCAGTAAATCTAACATCAATACGGTCACTAAATAGTATTTAATTTAGATATCTGTAATTGTAAAGATTACCATAATATTGTAATTTATAGAGTTGACATGAGAGAGAGCTGTACCTACGCAGGTTTCTTTGTTACCACCTTCGCACCATGCGAACTGTCTAGTTTCATGGGAACATGGAAAAAAAATCATTAGAACATTCAACAATTACGACAATTCATCAGTTTATTAATTAATTGATTAATTAATTAGTTGGTTTACTTTAACGGTGGCAAACAAGCTCACTGTTTATCTGCTTCTTATAAGTTATAAACTAGGTAGAGAGTGTCTCTATTAAATGTCGAATGTACGTTTTAGTTTAAAGATAACGTTTTGAAATATTCTGAATTAAATATCCAATAATGTATGCATCGAAATTTAAAATAAAACTTGTCTCTCAATAACCATTTACAATGACAGTTCAAATGTATATATATATGCCACTTAATAATGTCACACGTGCCGTACGGTGGCCGTCACAATACGCTGCGACAACCGCGCGGCGCGCCGGTGCAACCCTTCGGCACAGGTGCGCTGCGGCGCAGCGTTAGAACACGCGCAAAAACTGTTAGAAAAACGCAAGGCAGCGCGTGTCGACACAAAAAACGTCTCAACCCTTTGTCGTCGCGCGTCTATTGCCAGTTTTTACACGCGAGGCAATTACATGGCGCCGTCTAACGCGGACCCTTCTGGCGCAACTAATTACTGTTAGATTCCCACGCTCCTGTACTGCGCCCGCCCCACCGCCGGAACCTTATTTTATAACTGTCTACAGTAACCCTTTTGACTTGAAGAAGGAGATTTATAGTGGAACGTTTGAGCCGGGCGTGAAAGGCGCGAGGAGGGCCCGGCCCCGGCCTCACCTAGATACATAATTTAAAAGCTTAAAGCGCACAATACATAACGCGAGCCTCCGTCCCTTTTTCAGAAGGAATCAAAATATAAAGCAGTGTAAAGTACATAGCGGAGGAGGCGCGAGGCGTCGCGGCGGAGTGTCGCGGAGCGGGCGGGGCGCGCTCCGTCTCGCTCACTAATGTATTCACGTTTCCCGAGCCGCTCATTTTTTATCGCAGTCGCGCGGCGCATTAGAATTTCCAGGCGAGAAAATCTCACGCACACCGCGAGCTCGCCGAGCTGCATGGGACTTTAAACTCTACGAGACATCGATTAGGCTATTCACTTGCTTGTAGGAATCTGTAAGTGTGAGGGGGGAGGCGGGCGCTTTGAGGGGTGGGGGGGAGGGTAGAGGACTCGCTACATTGTAAATTCGCGCGGAGAAATGCCGGCGGGAGGCCACGCGGGGCGGTGGTGAAGAGGAGAAAGGGGAGAGGTCTGGTGTGCGGCTCGATAAGACGCTCCTCCGAGTCTTCCACGACACGGCACAGCAACCGCCATCCTCAAGGCGGCAGTGTCCAGCTGCCACAGGGTATGAAACTTTGCAATTTTGTATGCATTTCGAAATACGTATACTGCTCTCGTTTTATTTGTTTATGAAAAACTAAATGTTTACAGTAAATAAGCAGTGTGTGCACACGCCGAGTTCATTCACGGCAGAGTGGCGGCGCCGAAGCGGGCCGGGCTGCTCCGCGACGATACGCAATCTCGGCCGGACACTCGCACACACTCCATCGGTTCGGTCCGTGCATACACCGTACACGTAGCTTATAAGCGGCGTGAACTTACCCTATCTAAATACACTACACGCTTTGTTGCCGACAACTAAGACAAATTGTTTTCAAGACAATTGAGCAGAACACGTATTTCTCTTTAAACTACGCAAAGAAATCAAACCTTCATGTAATCACGCACGCAAGATAAAAGAACTGGCGTTGTAAATACACGCCCTGGCATAAGCATCCATTATAATAACGACTACAAGATAAGTAACTATAAGAAGTTAGCTGTAAAATGAATAACAAGTGACTCAAATAAATAGAATCGATAGTGTGAGTTAGAACATAATAAGGCAAGTCCAGACGGTGAATAACGAGCATAGCCCTGTGTACAGCCAGTCCCTATAGCGAGACATAACAGAGTGACAAATAGCAACTTTTACTTCATAATAATGAAGAAAGGAAAGGAACTTGTGAATGTGTCTATGAAATGTAACAAAAACTTCTCGTTCACTGTTACGAGGCAAGAAGGTATTTTTAAAGGAAACCTAAATACTGTTTAATTAAGGAGATTGCTTCTTTTAATTATATTAATAGACCTAATGATTAACCTGTGTTGCTTCTCTAAAGTTAATAAAAGATTATTTCGTAGTGTCCTGTTACATTACGATGAAAAGACTCAAATAAAGTTATTACTATTAGGACACAATACAACTAGATATGATGCAGGTGAAGTATAGAAACGTCGGCATTAGTTGGTTGGATATTAAACAACGAGCAGCGCGAGTTTGACTTGAAGCATTCCTCTCCCTCCTCCCTCCCGCCCTCACACCACTGCGACGACGAACAACCCCCCTGCCACCCCTTTATGTTTTGAGATGTTATTTAACAGGACATTTTATTTGCTGCACGGTACATAGTAGTATAATTTAGACAGTTTGATAAGATAGCTCCTCAAGATTTGTCATTGATAATTAAAAATCCAATAAATTGCTGCATCCTCAGTTAATAAGCAAAGAGGCAAGGCAAGTAGCGCAATAAAGAAAAAAAATAAGTGTGAAATTGATATTTTGGCAGTGTCGTACCAGTAAAACTACGAAAAATAAAAACACTCATTGCCTATGCTGGAACTGTTAGTAAAGAAACAGGCTTACCATCCTTATATATTTTTAGAAAAAAAAAATGAAAAGTAGTAAACTACACTGAAGAATTAACTAACAACAAACATTTTTAACTTATCTTCATTATTCAATATTCGCAAAAAAAACAGTTGACATCTTTTACTATATTTGTAGAAGAAACGCATCTTTTTAGAATATATAATATGGTACAGTCATACCTATAGGTAGTTTCCAAGCGTTTATTCACCTCGGAGTTGCTGACTGAAATATATTCTGCTGTTGTATGAGCCAGTTTTTGCCAAGGAGGACAATTAAAACTTTAGCGCCCTCTGATAGGCACCACTAACAACCAATGTTCCAGACGCTAATAACTTTACATCTTCCCAACAACTATTGTACACATATTCAGTACGAACTCGCTCTTTATTCAAAAAAATACTTTATATTTTACACTTTAATTAAAATATTCTCTAAAATCTCTAGTCTATAATGCTAAGATAGTTATATACACATTTAATATGTCTCAATAATCATGAGATTAACTATCGCAACAAAGTTAACTGTGTAGTAATATCTTTACATTGATGTTTTAACAATCTTGGTTATTCTTGGCGTTTTGCCAAATTTCGTGGTTTTATGTGAACAAGTGTTCTAAACTTATGTACGTACATAATATTCTCTCATCACAAAGGTAGGTGTACGACTTATGAAATACAGATCAGTCAGACAACATCATCCCTTTGTGCGAGACTGATGTCTGTTGTAGGAAAAACCTGTGTTACTGATTACGAGGCTTACACCTCCTGGACGAACCATTGTAGCATGTCCTAGTTTATAATAAATAAGTAGACAAACAAGAGAGAAGTAAATAAGAAAATGGCAAAACATATTGTGTGTGTGTGTGTGTATGTGAGTGAGTGTGTGTGTTTGCGTGTGGGCGTGTACATGTGTATGTGAGTGCATGGTGTGTATGCGGTACTTATTTATGTAGTTCAAATTAAATAAATATATAGGTACATACATTTTGAATTACCCGTGAGTGACAAAGATGTAGTATAAAGTGCTGTAACATTTGATTGAGCCACTTTTTTACAGCCAAGAATTCTGCAAAAAAGAATTCTCGACAGATGTACCAATGAATACTAAAGTCAATTCACTCTCAAACGATGCTAGAACCTTCTATTATATTGATCAACTGATAACATTTTTAACGCTGAAATACTATTCTACAAAACAAAAAACAGTCTGATGATTTTCATGAATTTTATTTGATGATTCCGTCAGACCTTTTAACTAACAACAACGCTTTAATAATCAGTTTAAAGAGATCTAATGATATATATCTTGCTTGCACTAGTGTGAGTGAGGGCCTACACAACAAGGACAAAGGTTTTTGCCATATAATTGTCCGCTACTTTAAAGGTTATCGAAACAGGTGGAAGCGTCCGCTTATTTTACCCATGTTCGCGATCAACCGTTACTCTCTAGTGAACAGCATACGGTGAATTAGATAGTAATAATGTAACATTAAATAAAAATAACTCAACAAACAAAAAATATAAATATGATACGAGTATGTTCAGCTCGCTGTATTGCCGTGCGCTATTTCAATAAAGATACAGTACTCACTGTACTTTTCCTATTTAAATTCAACTTTATACCAACCTATTATCATGTTTTCTAAAATATTGCTTTTTACTTTGCTTATAATAAAAAAAGAACATGTAGTAGTACTTAGGGTTTTCCAATATGTTATAAATTAGAGACTACTTGTAGTAGATGTGCAGGGTACATTTAATAAACTACATGTACAAGTTCGGAAAGTCTTATCATTTGTACAGTTGAATGTAATAAACAAGTGGACTGTGATTACTTTAAAATATAGTAACAAAACTAACGAGTCAGCTCTGCGACTAGTATAGAAGGTACGTGTTATAAAGTAGGCAGCAAATCGCGCGTGAAACTGATGTTCACGCTGCCAGTGGCCGCAGTTATCGCATCGCCCGAAAGCCCCCACCTTTTCCTTCCATTTTTACGAAACTCAAGTCTTTAACTAAAAAAAGTACATGCTTAATTTAGCCTTTTAAATATTTTTTCAACAGTTTACAACAATGAGGTTCAAGTATTAGATGTGTTTAAATCTTAAGCCAATAAAGGCGTCTAAGTCACTTTTAGGCTGTTTGTTGGTTCCACTTTGTTGGTACTGCGGTTCTTAATAAAAGATTCATGTAAAATCATGTATACGGTAATTAATAAATAGTCGGGTGCAGCACTGTCTCACCCAAAACTAAGAAAAAAGCATTACTGTTCTTTTGAATTAATGAAATGAAAATTGACCATATCTGTCATTTGGACTACACTTTTGAATTTTATCTTAAACAGAATGATTCTAAAATAAATAAAGATGAATTGATCGATGTCGGCAGAATCAACAGTAAACGATGGATAAGTTAATTTTAAACCACAAAAAAGATCAAGCCATTCAGGTAATTATCATTCAGGTGTATCGTAGAACAGTTATGTTTCTCTGTAGTGTCACGTCGCTTTAGTGTCAAACGTCTCCTAATGTATATGGTGATGTATGTGATGTATTTCGGAAGGTGACATTCACGATTCTTGGAATACCGCTCGAACGGTTTACTGTTCTGTTCATACTGTTGAGGAAAATTTCAGTTCGCAAGTCCTTCCACCTACCTAGTGCTTAATAAGACCGAACTCAAACCGCAGATATATTTGGCGCGGTGGATCCATATATAACGCGGCACAAATACACACAGCCGTTTTAATTGACAATGAAGTTTGAACGATTAAAACCCAACCGGATGCTATTCATACATTATTGTTTTAAATTATTGTGTATCGGCACAGCTGCGGCCTATAGCTCACATAATACATATTGTAACTTAGTGATTAATAAGCACAAAGTGTTTGAATGACTTCGTGT